ACATCACAGTCAGGGCCTGTGAATCTTGATAACTCTCTGAGTATTTCTCGACGTCAGAACACCTCGAACTGGTTTCCTTTGCCATACCGGCATGCGAGTATGCGACCTTGTTCTCATGGGGGCAAAATTTCCCATCCGAGACCCCATGCGCTCAACCTCAGGCCGCCCCTCGGGAGTAGAAACCATCACAATTGCCCACCTTTTCATCGTGCCGGGGCGGGGCGGGCGCCGGGGGTCGGGGACCGGGGACCGGGAACCGGGGGACAGGCCGGGAGGGGCCGCGTGTCCTCGGGGGACACCAACGGAAGAGTGTCTTCCCGGCGCCTCGGCAGAAGCGCGCGGGGGCCGGGTCCTCCCCCAGAGGCCCCGGCGGGTTTCTGGGCAACTTTCAAGCCGGGTGTCCCGCGGCCGTGCCCCGGGAGAGGACGGGCTGGATATGAAAATGGCGCTCCGGACCATCGTCAGAAGAGCATGCGCCCTGAGTGGTTTGTGCAGAAACGCAGAGGGGCCGGCGGCGGCTCCCTTACCCACCCGGGGAGGAAGGGGGCGCCCGTGGCCCCAGCCGGCTGGGCGGCAGCGCCGCGGGGCGGGCGAGTCTAGCTGGGCTCTCGCTGGTCTCAGCCCCCGGGCAGCTCTGCTGGCTGCACAGAAGCTAACAGGCGCCGGCGATGATAGAGGGACATGGCTTCGATATTCAGAAGAAGGGGTCAGAGCATCTCCTGCGACTGGCACACGCCTTTGGAAGAGAGTGAAGAGGAAAACCTACCCTAACATCCAAATCTCTAAGCTCTAAGGCCAGAATCCCACCAGTTGGGAGCTGGAAGAGTCACTAAAGAGCACCTTTCACCATCCCCCGGTCTTCACAGGAGGAAAACTATCTCAAAAGACTTTTTAAACATGTGAACGTCCTGAAAAGGAGGCGTTGTGAGGACGGTTCCACTCTGTTGAGACGCATTCCCTGTTTTAGGGGCCAGGGGCCCATGGCTCTGAGCTCAGAAAATGCAAACATCTCTTAAGCACGTGGGCCACAGCCACACAATCAGGTGAATTTTGCCTGATGTTTATTCCCCCGAATCTTGGTGTCAGCAAGCACGTTGGCCAATTCACATTATGTTCTTGAAAAATTCTCATTGAGATTTGTATGTGGAAAAGCCAAGCATTCGAATGTCTCAATAAACGTACCCACTCTGTTGGAAAGGCTAAATTAATTCAATGATGGAGAGCTTTATCCAAATTTGCCAATTTAAAAGTCATGTAGAATCTAAATTCGCTTACCAGATTCCTTAACAATTTTTCATCCCTGTTTTGTATTAGAAATGCTGCATTAGAAAAAGAAGTTGGAGTTCTCATTCAATGCGTAAACTTTACATTTCTCAAAGGAAATGGTCTAATGAAAAGAAATCTTAACACTATGCTTTCAGAGAAGGCAGACTTCATTGAACACCCTTTTGTTGTTTTTTAAATTGAATTTACAGAAACATGTTCTGTCCTATAATTCTCTTGCTTAGAAATTTGGGTCATGAGGAGTGAATCATGGCCTAAACAAATAGACGTCCTTCAAATTAAGCCCTCAAAATGAAAGGGTTTCTTTTTCCTTAGCACATGTGCAATATGAACATTATAATGAAATTTTTGAAATTAAAAATACTCATTTCGAAGACTCTAAGTAAGTTTTAAAATTTTTGCATGAAAAGAAAGTGATTGTCTGAATGATCAAAGCTCTCAAGCAAAATCTTCAGAACCTACATGGCATAGAAAAGTCTACAAAAAAATCAAGACAGTGCACACAGCACACATCCCTGTCAAAGTTCTAACGAGATCACAAACACTATTCTCTCAATTATGAAGTCAGAGTTCCCACTGGTTGTAGTTTCATAATAAAGTCATGATTTCACCATCTATGGGGGAGGATCATGGAAGACACTCCTTTCCAATCACCCAACTTCATATAAAAGTTAGGAATTTGCTTTTAAACAAACAAACGAAAAAGTGTTTCACACAAAGGAAATACTGAGAGAACTAAGATGTCACTCAACTGCAGGAAAGGGAGTCAATGTTATTCATAGACATTTAATAGCAGAGAAGTGACTGGAGTTTGAAAAGACCAGCATTTAGTCTAACTCTGCAAATGCCATGTGAGTGCTGCCTGTGACGCCCGGAGAGCAGGCCCAGGCTTTGCTTGTGACCAGCAGAGCTGGAAAACTCGGAGCTAAAGGCAGCTCCAAAATACGTCGCCACCCCCGGTCCTAATTCTGCCCCTCGAGGCTGTACTGATCACCCTTAGTCACTCTTGAGCCTAACAACCCTTCCAAAATGCAAAGGCAGTCTGGTTGAACATGGCCCTATGAACCAGGATGCCACGGCTCAATTCCCGGTCAGGGCACATGCCTGGGTTGTGGACTTAGTCCCCAGTGTGGGATGTGCAGGAGGCAGCCAATCAATGATTCTCTCTCATCATCGATGTTTCTATCTCTCTCTCCCTCTTCCTTCCTCTCTGACATCAATAAAAATATGTATATTTTTTTAAAATGCAAAGGCGCTCTCTCAGACCACATCTTCCTCTTAGTCTTTCCCAGATTAAGTCCCCCCTCCCCCTTTTTTTTCAGCCTTCTCTTAAATTCCATGCCCCCCTTGCTGTTCAGTCATTCTCTTCTCGAATTTGTCTATATCCCTCACAGTGTGTCCCAGAATGAACGTAGGCCAGTGGTGGCCTGGTGCCCCCAGCTCTGATATCAGAAGAAAGCAGTGAGGGGAGATTCAGATGGGAACGAAAGCCATACAAAACATAAAAACTAATGTTATTACTTAGCTGCAAGAAAATGAGAAAATATCTTCTTGCAAGAAAAAAGCACCCCAGGATGGTCAAAGGCCTGACAGCTGTGAGATTTACATCTTGTATCTGTTTAAAATCATCATCATTTCTCAGAATGTGTCATCGGAACATGCACTTTTAGTTCATGTCATGATGATGGGATCCAAACAACTAAAAGAAAACATAGCACACATACTCT